AGGAAGTCCAGTTGCCTTTTGGAAAAAGCACCTTCGGGGCAGCCATTCCCCAGGTGGAGCCACTTTTAAGGCGGAAGGCCTTTGGGGCCACTGTTCTGGGACTGCTGCAGCAGGGATGGCTTCATCCCAATTTTTTTTTTTTTAATTTTTTTGGGTAATGAATAGCCAGTCAAAATTTTGCCCAGTGGGTTCTTTCCCATCAGATGTGATTCAAGTATTAGGCTGGTTCTCCGCCTTGAGTTACTTATAAAGGGAAATCAAATCCACAAAATAAAAATTGCAGGAAAGAGAGCCTGCAAAGGCTTTTTAAGCCGCTTTGATCTTAAATAACTCCCGCCAGCCATAAAAAATCTTCTGATGGGTCTTCTGGGCTCCATGAACAGGCAAAGGGGGCAGATTTTTTTGCTTCAGAAGGTCAGCCCGACAACCATCCGAAAATGCACGGCTCACTTAAGCTTTTTAAGAATCTCTTCTTGCTCATGTAGGGTGCCTCGACTTACGACTGTCTTGACTTAGAAGGGAAATTCCAGGCTTTGTTATGATTTTAAGTTGAAGGCTATCTGTGGAAGCTCCTTTTCATTAGCAGAACCCCGTATTAATTTACTCCCCCGTCTCACTCTCATCGTGCCCAGGAATCTCCAGAAGGTCAGGTTGGGGGACGAGTTTGTCCTCTAGGTTACGATAAAGTTTACCGACAGGTTAGAGAAGAAATTTTGGAGGTCGCTACCTCGTGGGTGTTGAAGACCTCCGTCCAGCAAGGTGACCAATTAACAAGACAATCCTTTAAAGAGAAATCAAGATCTTTGGTTCTCTCCTTGGTAAGTTTCCATCCGTTGCTTCTTGTCCTGCCTTCAGGTGCTTTGGAGAATATGTTGAGCCCTTTTTTTTTTTGGGGGGCAGACTGAATCCCACTTCTAGAATAGAAACTGGAAGGGACCTTGGAGGTCTTCTAGTCCAGCCCCCTGCTCAAGCAGGAGAATCTATACCATCTCAGACAAGTGACTGTCCAGTCTCTTCTTAAAAACCTCCAGCGATGGAACACCCACGATTTCTGGGGGCAACTTCTGTTCCACTGGTTGATTGTCCTCACTGTCAGGAAGTTTCTCCTTAATTCCAGGTTGCTTCTCTCTTTCAAATAACCCAATACCAGAAATAGTTATTTCTGCCTAGGAAGAGAAATAAAAGTCACACGCTTCCCCACCTCCAAGCAAAGGAGGGAATCAGAGGCCAAACATGCTTCGTTATGAATTCTTTAATTTATACACCTGTTCCACAGCAGGGAAACCACATTACATAGAGAGGAAATTAAAGCCCTCAATTGTTATTAGCCCCTATCACAGAAATACTGTTATTTTATCTTTTTTTTAAAAAAAAAAAAAGAAATTAAAAAAGGACCAACCCCCCCTCCCTCGAGATCCTAAATGAAATTTCCCCGTTAAAAAAGCCCAAAATGTATTTTCTTTTGTTTTCCTAAAAGAAATTGGGAGGTTTTGAGGTCGAGTGTCGGGTTTTACGCTTCCTTCCTTGAAGTGAAATGGGAAGAGAGGAAAAGAATCAATAAGCCTTTATTCCCAGTTGAACCAGGAAGGTTTTTTTTCTCCTAGGACTGACCTGGTCCTTCTGTTGTTTAAAAGTTTTCTTGGGTTAACTTTTAAAGTGCGATACGCAAATCTTGAGGAATGGACTAGAAAAATGCATGGAAAACTCACTGGGAGAATAAAATAAAAATAACGCAAGAGGTGCTGTATATGAAACCCGCCGTGGGAAGGAAACTTGAAAAACGGGGAGGAAAAAAATCTCCATCTCTCCAAGCGGACTTCAACTCCCAGAATCCCACCCATCTTTGAGCATGCTAGCTGGGGAATCCTGGGAGCCGAAGTCCATCCGTTGTAAAACCGCCAAAGTTGATAAACATTGCTCTATCAGTTCCTATCTCAAGCAGTCTCTAAATAAATCAAAACTTTGGTTTGAAAAGCCCTGGAACCCGCCTTGTCCCAGCAAGGGACGGGTTAGGAGAAACGGATGCTCACAAAGTCTCTTTTTTCTGGAATTCTGGACCTGTGAAGACAACTGAAGGAGTTGGAAAGTCAGAGAGGAAAACTTGACTTCTCCCAGACCCAGGATCAGCCTTTCCCATCTCCTGACACCCTCGCATCCCACCGAGACCCCCCATCCTGAGCCCAGAAGGGTATTTTTGCCAGTTTCCAAAATGAAAGAATGCCCAGACAGGGGAGGGAGGAAAAAAAAAGCAACAGCCGCCCCCTCGGGCACCAGTGGGCTGGTCTTGGCAGGGACAGGAAAGTTGCTGGCTTACTTTAAGGGATTGCACGCTCAAGGGGATCCTCAACGGAGAAGGTGCCACGGGCTTCCACCTCCAGTTTTGTCCTGCTTGCTTCGGGGAAAGCAAGAGAGGGGGGAGAGACAGACCGTTCTCCGTTCCTAACCAGGTTGCATCGTGAAAATGCTGCAATGCACCAAACCTCTTTTGCAGACAGGCTTTCCCTGGGAAGGTTGGTGATATTGGGGGACAGAAGGGCCGAGAGGGAAAAGACAGGTACAGGGGCAACTTTTTCAAGGGAGGGGAGGGGTATAATGTGCAACAGCTGGAGAATAGCTGCCATTAGGGGGTCCCCAGAGGTCCGCTGGAAGGACGGGTGGACGTAATAAGTTTCCGATTCGTCGTCGAGTTATGAGAGTTGGTAAACCCCTTGACGGACCGGACGTTTCTGTAAGGGGGAACGGGGGGGGTGTTTTTTTGGAAAAGTGATTACTTTGGGTGAAGCAGGACGTGGGGTCGCGTTTTACTTCGGTTTAGACCCCGAACCGGTCACCTTCCTTTTCAGTGTGGCACCTCTACTCCGCACCAAGGTCCGGTTCAAAACCGGACCAAGGCGTGGCTTCCTTTAGCCTTTACAAGCTGACCGTTTACGGTATAATTATGTCCTATCCTCACTAACAAGTTATACACATTCTAGACGTCTCTCGGGATGGACTGTGTGAGCCACTGAACCAGGCAGTGTATCTTGCAGATTTACAGAAAAGACAGCAACCTGAAACATATTCCTGCACTCACACAACTGTTGGGATTGTTTGAGCATTTGATCGGTTCAGACTACGATGCCAGTTTCAGCCACAGCCCAAGAGAGAAACAAGAGCCAGGGGAAGGAGATTAATAAGAAGAGTTAGCTGTAGAGCTTAACGAAGAGAAGGCTTGGCTATAGAGCTTAGAGCCACAGAGCTTAACGAGGGTCAGCTATAGAACTTAACAAGAAAAATTAGCCTTAGAGCTTAACAAGAAGGGTTAGTCGTAGAGCTTAACACGGAGAAAAATTAGCTATAGAGCTTAACAAGTTAAGTTACCCATAGAATTTAACTAGAAAAGCTAGCTATAGAGCTTAACAAGGATTAGCTATAGAGTTTAAGAAGAGTTAGCCACAGAGTTTAATGAGAAGAGTGAGCAATAGAATTTAACCCACAGGAGGATTAACTATAGAGCTTAATACGTTAAGCAAGAAAGGTTAACGTGAAACAAAAGCTTAACAAGAAGGGTTAGCAATAAAGCTTAAACAATATCCTTGCCCAAGGCATCCTAGATCTCTGGGATAGATACAGTCAGCAAGTAGATTCACTCAGGTGCTGGAATCAGAAAAGATCCATCGATTACAAACTCAGTTCTGCCTTCTTGCTAAGAGCTGTAAAACCACTCTGCTTTCCAGCCAACATTCATCTCCTCTAGCCAAGATGCTCTCTAAGCTTACGGCAACTTCCCCCAATCTGATGTGACCTCCAAACGGTTGCAGCCCCACTGCACTAGCTAGGCTCTAGGTTAGGAGAACCAGCTATCCAAAATCTCGACCGGGGAGGTGTGTGTGTGAACTAAAGCGCCCTTTACCACAAAAAGATAACACAACACGCCTTCAGATTTTGCAATCTTGAGTAGCTCTGCTTAATTTCACAAAAGACACGACCAGAGGTCTTCCCAATGCCTACATGTTGGCAGTCTAAACAACGAACCCATCCCAAGCCATCGAGCCCACCATGGCTACATTCACCCTACGCACGTCAAGTCAAAAAGTCAAGTCAAAAAGCTAAAAGAGAGCCACATTATGGCTCACAGTGACAGCCCGGTTCACACAGCAAAACTAAGAGAGAAGGCAGTTGATCGGTTTGAGCTTAACCATGATGGCTTTTAAACCATGATTTGTGGCTCAGCAGGATGGGTGAACATAGCCTTTATTCAATTATACAGCGTTGTCGGGGAGAACAGGAAGAATTAAGAATAGGGGATTAAAAAAAAACCCCCTTTTTCTAAGATGTCGGTCACCCGCGCATCCGTTGACCCATCTACACGTGTTGCAGGTTGCAATTGCATCAGTTGTTGTCTTTGACTGGCTGTGCTACAGAAAGAGTAGAGTCTTATTTTGTCAACTAAAGCCAGTGGCCTTTTCCCCCTCCCCTTCTTTTCCAGGAATACGTGCTGGGAATTGAGAGTCCAAAATATGCAACAGTTTTACAGAGCGTCAAGGGAGGAATTTCCGAGATTCGGTAAATTATGCAGGACTCATTTTAAGAGTTTTATAATGCCACTTTCTTCCCACGGATTACAAACCCTTCCCCCACTTTACAACAAAGAGAAATGGAAGGGAAAAAAATTAGTAATAATTTACTATTTAAACTTTCACGCTGTTGCATACATTCCGGACAACTGAGTGAAGAAGGTGTTCACCCAGGCTATGGAAACCGACGGAAGCAGTCATTTTTTTTCAAAATAAAACCAGCTTCCGATTCTGCGGTACGAGAACGGGAAGGCCTCCCTCGCCCTCCGTTCCAATGAAAGCTGAAAGAAGCAAAAAAAAAAAAAACCCCCGAGGGGGGAATCGTTAAACGCAGCAGGGAGCATCCAAGCCAGCCACCAAAGGACACACACAAAAGCTTCCCATTCGCCTCCCGAGACGTTCACCCCGTTTTTTACATTTTGGGAAGCAACGCGGATTGCACACCTCTCTGATCGTGTTTCGAAGCCGCCGCTTCCCTATCCAGAAGCCCAACGAAGCTCATGTTCCGAAGAACGACAATGAAAGGGAGGGAGGAGAGGAAGAGAGAGGGAGGGAGAGATAGAGGGAGGGATAAGAAGGAAAGAGAGGGAAGGAGAGGGAGAAGGAGAGAGGGAGGAGAGAAGGAGGGAGGGAAAGAGGGAAGTAAAAAGACTTTTCTTAAAAAAATAAAGAAAGCCACCACCATTATCTGTCCTTCAACCCTTCCACTTAGGCACCAGAAGAAAAACCCAGTCCTTAAGACAGAGGAACAAAACCGGGTTTTGGATTCTCTTTTCTTGGCTGTATTTTTATCCTTCTCTCCACCCACCACCACCCAAGCCCAACGTCTGCGGGTGTGTGTGTGTGTGTGTGTGTGTGTGGTGTTTTGTGTTTTGTTTTTCTTTCTCTTTTTACACTGGGAAGGTCGTCCCTTTGCTTCTGTGCCTTGGAGGGAGGGAAGCGAAGGATCAATAAATTACAGTTCGCTGGAAAGTGCCGCCTTGTCCTACGGGAGGGGGAGGAAGACGGGAGGAGTGTGTTGAGGAGGAGAGGAGGAAAAGGCGGAGAGCGTCACGCAGCGCTCTCTCTCTCGCCGTGGGACTCCGCTGAGCCGTTGGCGGTCTTCTTGACTTTCTTCATACCCTCCATGACGCCCGAGGTGGTCACCCTGGGAAGGAGAAAAAAAAAAACTGACTTTATTCAGGGACTAGAAGACCCCCAATGTCCCTTCCAATTCTGTAATTCTGCTGATGACCTAGGCCAGGGGTAGGCAACCTTGGCTCTTTTATGACTCGTGGACTTCAACTCCCAGAATTCCTGAGCCAGCATAGCTGGCTCAGGAATTCTGGGAGTTGAAGTCCACGAGTCATAAAAGAGCCAAGGTTGCCTACCCCTGACCTAGCCTATCAGGTTACTACCGGGCTCCTGGCATGATATGGATTGACCCCAACTGCCCAGTGAAGACCCCTCCCCATGCACCTTGCCCCAAGCGCCCAAGGACAGGAAGGCAGCCCAAAAGCGCTCTTAACTCACACAGATTCCATGTCGAAACTGTCGTCTTCCTGAGAGAGCTGCAGATAAGGGTTGTCGGAGGCCGGCCTGAACTTATAGCCAGTGAGGACAAAGAACACCAAAGTCGCCATTTCATCCAACAGCTGCAACAACACAAAGAGAGAAGATTGCGCTGGGGGAAATTTTGCTGTGAATACAGGCAGTCCTCAACTCACGACAGCTCATTTAGGGACCGTTCAAAAAGTTAAAACGGCCCTGGGGAAAAAGAAAAAAAAAAGCCTTACGATCGTTTTCCCCACCTTTGCAGAATCCCCCACAATCACGTGATCAAAACTGGCAACTGATTCATACTTAGGACCGTGGCTGTGTCCCAAAGGTTGCGTGATCCCCTTTTGTGACATTCTGACACGTTGCAGCAAGGTAAGCTGTGTGAAAAATGGCCGTCACTTTTTTTCACGGCCGGTTTAACTTCGGTCACTAAATGAACTGTTGTAAGTTGGAGGATTACCTGGAGAAGCTTATAAATTTTCAACCTGTTTTGCAAGTGTGGGGGGGGGGGATTTATTATCGTTGCAATAGATTTATCGTAGCTAAATGTCCATGGAGATTCTCCATCATCCAGATCACGGCTGTCCCAAAGGTGCTTTTTCAAGAGGCCACTGGACTTCGATTTTTCTTTGAAGTTGTTTCACCACTCATCCAAGAAGCTTCTTCAGTTCATCACTCTTCAGTTCAGAACTGAAGAGGCTTCTTGGGTGGGAAGCAAAACATCTTCAACAAAAAACCAGACACGTATAGTTGCCTCTTGAAAAAGCACCTTTGGGACAATAGATCCATCGGTGTTCAACTGATAGGTTTATTTGCACTTTTTAAATGTTTTTGTCTAGTTTTGTTTTCTCTCTTCTTTTCTTTCAGATTTCCTGTTTTAATATTTTGAACAAAATTAAAAAATTGAGAGAAAAAAACACATCGCAGGTCCTAAACTGGCATCCATCAAGAGATGCAGAAGTAAGTCTGTCGTTGAGCCTCGGAAAGCGATTGATGTTTTTTCCCAAAAAGTTTCACAGGCTGAAGCAGCAGCTTCCTAAGAGCGATCGAGGGAGGCATCCTTTTTCTTTGACCTTCCTCCCCCCTTCCCCCCTCCCCCCGGTTCTCGATCAAGACGGATCGTGTCCGTTGGGAGCCAGCGAGCATTCAATGAAACGTGCCTTAATTCTTCACGTCTACAATTTCAGAGACTCTGCCGGAAACGATGCAGCGTCCTTGAAGGCTGCGACAAACCACCGGAGCTCAAAGAAGCTGCGGCTTGTAGAAGATGCCAGTTTGCAGAATGCAATCCATGCTTGGTTTTAATGCTTTTTGTTCATTTTAGCGGCTCCCGGCGTGGAAATTCAGTCTGTTCAGCTAACTGTGCAGATTCCAGAAAAAAAAATGTATCTGAACAGATACAAAAATTAGTGGGTTTCGATGCCACCCATCAGCGCTGGAAAACCCCGAATAGGGTCTGCAGCTTGCATGGCATCTGCCAAGACTGTCTGCTGAAGATGGGCAGAGCCCCCCTGAATGTCACTGTGGTGCCCCTTGACAGACACTGGATCACATAAGGGAGTGTATTGACTTAAGACCGTACAGGAGCCCCAGATTTCAGTGGCTAAACGAGACAGTTATCTTGAGTTTTGCCCCATTTTACGACCTTGCTTAGTTCTTCAGTGAGTCACTGCACAGGGTGGTTAAGTGAATTTGGCTTCCCCATTGACTGCGATTGTCAGAAGGTCGCAAAAGGGGATCACGTGACCCAGGGGATGCTGCGACCGTCATAAATACGAGCCAGTTGCCAAGCATCTAAATTTTGATCACGTGGCCACGAGGATGTTGCGACGGTCGTGTGAAAAATCGGTCCCAAGTCACCAGGCTGCAGCTTGCTAAAAACCAGGCCGCGCAATCTAGTCCAGCCCCATCGGTGGGATGCAGGCAGCAAGCAAAACCAGGCCCCTATCTGGTCCATGGAAAAAGCCCTCTCCCCAGAACCGGTCCCTGGTGCCCAAAAGGTTGGGGGCTGCTGCTGCTCTAGGCTGTGGGCTAAATAAATAAATGGTGTCTCCTTGGAGGAACAGGGGTATGGAGGAAGGGGCACCTACCTTGTAAAGCCACTTCCACTGGAACGGAACCGCAATCTTGATGAGGATGGCGATGATTCGGGTGAAGTAAATATAGCACACGATCTGGAGTGGAGGAAGAAGTTAGTTCCAGGACAGGAGATATTATGTCCTGAGGACAGCGATACAGGACGGAACAGAGTCGGGTTCCCAGCAGAGAATCCAGGTCAACCTAGAATGATGCCGTCCCAAAACTTCTGGGCCCACCTCTTTCTCATATGCCAGCCAGGTGGGCTTGAGATGGGGCCCTGGCACTTGAAAGATGGCCAGAAATATTTGGAAAATAAAACAGGCCTCTTTCCATTATCGGAGACGTGGTGAGAATTCTCCAAGGCGGGCAAGATGGAAAGTTGTCTCTCCTGTTACCAGATCATTCTGGAAAACTAGGAGCTCTTGAGTTTTTAACGAGGAGGCCCTGTTTAAACCAGGGGTGCCCAACCTTGGCAACTTTAAGACCTGTGGACTCCAACTCCCAGAATTCCTCAGCCAACCATGGAGCTGGGGAATGCTGGAATGCTGGCTGGGGACTTCTGGGAGTTGAAGTCCACAGGTCTTAAAGTTGCCAAGGTTGGGCACCCCTGGTTTAAATCATCCCCTGGGGGAGGAATTGATAGTTTCCATTTAAAGAGGAATCTGGGTTATTCCTTCATTTGTGAAAAAAAGGGGAACCCCACCACCACCACCACCCCACGCCCCCCATAACTCCTTACCATGACATAGTAGTGTCTGAAGAGCTTCAATTTTGCTAAGTTAATGGCAGCTGCTGAAAAGAATTCACAATTACAGGAAATTAAGAGACAGAAAAGGACTACCTCTATGGTTATAAGACGGGCACTGGAGCAAGCTGAGGTACCTGAGGCGGCAACATCTGCACCCCGTGCTGAGGGACTCAGCTGCCTCGGTTCGAAATTCAAGGCTTTGATGTGCAGCTATAAATAATCTTGGTTTCTCTCCCAGGTCTCAAAGAGCTGGAAGAACAGACCTCGGGCTCACGGTTACCGATTGTCTTCCTCCCCAGAAATCCACACCTGGGTAGTTTCAAGGGCGAAGCTGGCAGAGTCTCCAGGACTTGGCAGGGTGACGGGAGGCAGCCACTATCCCTTACCCATCAAGGGCAAGAAGCAGCCATGCTTTATCCTCCAGGCAAGGGAAGATTTTTCTTGAGGTCGGGGCTTCCTTTGCTCAAACCCTCAGAAAGGGTTATGCTAACTTTTCCCAGTTGGAAGACCGTACGTCGATCGGTCGTAAACCCACACAGGTGAGCCCTTGACTTACGGCCACAAGCCAGGAAGTTGTTCAATGACTTGTGCCCCATCTGCACTAAAGGTAGTCCCCACTTAGCAACTGCCTTGCGCCGCAAGTCTTCGCCGTTGTGGCAGGGATGAAAAGGTGTTTTTGGGTAGCCAATATGCACATTTATGACCTGTGCAGCCAAGGAAAGCCGAAGTCACGATGAAAGTGCGGTCATGATTTTCCCTCAGCGACCACTTTAACAACTGAATTGTGGTCACTAAATGAGGACTGCTGTTTCCTTACTGAAAATCAGCGAGGGGGAGGGAGCCCAACCTCAAATGATTGCCCAAAACGTGGCAGCTGGCTCCTGTATTCCTCCAGACAAGGCTGAAAGACCCAGCAGGGTGAGTGGCAGACTAGATAAGCAGAGTCCCAGGGAATTATTTTTCTGATCACTTCCTTGTTTTAAAAAGAAGAATAGAAAGCCTGACTTGCGCAAAAATGGGAAAACTCTAAAATATCCACAGTGGAGGAAAGGTTGGCGAAGACGACCGAATTAGAAGAGATGGCAAAATTGACTTGTCTGCTTAGGGGGAAGAATAATAACCTCATTTATTTGTAACTGGAAACCGCTTATGGACTTTTTGCCGAAGGAAGGGGGGGGGGGAAAACCTTCTGATTTATGGGCCTGATGATTAGCCAGGGCAGACTATGGAAAGAAGACAATTAGGATGTCACTTTGGAGAGCGGGGGTAAAATATAAATCCATTCATAACCGTGACTAAGAAGATCAGAAGCGGCTTCTTTTTCATCTCCTCTTTCTCTTTTGTCTCTGTTTGCTTTCCGGCCCATTTGCCATTTTTCTCAATTTCTTCCCAAAGATGGGCATTATTTTTATCCCGTTACAAAATTCTGTAGGGAGGGAGGGAGGGAGAAGTCCCGAGGCTTTCAGACCCGAGGAAAAGCTGTTTTTTTACAATTATCGGGCTGGGTTTCTCCTCCTCCTTCTCCTTCTCGACAGCCGATCAATTAATATTTCACTGACCCAAAGAAAGGGAATTTTCCTCTCCCTGCTCTGCAAACTGAAGCTGTGGGGAGGGGGGGGAATCACGCTGCCCGTTTATGACGCACAAAAACTAGAGATTCAGTTTTCACCCGTGATTTATTTCGGGAACATTAACGGCTCGCGATTCCAGGGGGAAATTAAACAGGGAGACAGCGAGATGATGCCTGCCCAGGGCTGGCTGGCTCCCCTTTGCCCGAGCGCCCCCAATTTATGAGAAAGCACAAAGGCCAGGAAGGGGTGTTTAAAGAGGAGGAGGAAGGGGAATTGACACAATTGTCACAAAAGGGGATCACCTGACCCTGGGACCCTGCAATCGTTCGCACTTATCTCGATCACATCCCCATGGGGAGGCTCTCTGAAAAACGGTCCTAAGTCACTTTATTCAGCGCCTTTATAACTTCAGTCACTAAATGAACAGTTGTAAGTCAAGGACTATCTGTACGCTTCTCCTCGTCAGGCCTGGAGACCAGGGTCTGTGTTCTGTCTGTCTGTGAAAGCACTCAGCCCAGCTAAAATTGGATTAAACTACTGATATTTTAGCCTCTTTGATTGCCCGGCTTGTAATCCAACTCCTCGTCCAATTCTTCCTTCTCTCGTTCTGTTGACTGCAGTTAGGAAGGTGTGGGCCTCACCCTTCGCTCGGTGCGGGATGTTAGAAATATCTGATACTGCCATCACCAACCTTCCTCTGTTATCTATTTTATTTGTGTGTGATCCTGCTGGCTCTTGGGGGTGTCTTGGGAGCCTAAATTAATAAAGTAATTTAAATATTTGGGTTCTTGCGAGGGGCCTTGGCTCTCCAGAGCCAAGAAAGTAGGTGGAGAGTAGTAACTCCCAGAAAAGCAGTGGGCCAATATTTTTTTTTAGCAATCGATACTGGCAGGAAGGAAGTTGGTTGGGACCTCTGGCTGCAGAAACCCGACGGGACCTCAAGAATACCTGAACACCCCCAAATTGGAAATCAACCACTAACCTTTGCCATCAGTTGCAGAAGCTTCTTGTAAGTGTCGGATCAACCTAGGAGACAGAAGGATCAGGGGATTAACGACAGATCGCCCTGCAGGATCTTCAAGCCAACTCTTGCCTAGAAAAATGTGGCAGATCTGCTTAGAAGACCTACAGTTCTTTGGGGTTTAATCTGCACCTTTCCTCTCCTGGGATATAGCGAAGGGAGGACTGGCCTTTTCTAGGCGTAGCGCTCATGAGAACGTGAGATATTTTCAGAGCAGATGGATGGAACCAGTTTAGTTGCCTTGGCAGGGAAGACCTACCCCAAAGGTTCCTCATCATGACAGGAAGTCACAACTGACCCTGGGATTTCGGTGGTCATTGCAATCGTTGAGACACCCACAAGACTGCTTTGTTTAATGACCACAGCTCCTTCCCCTGGAGAGCGCCGTATGGCGGTCCCTGAAGGGAGTTAAAACTCTGTCTTGCCTTCCACTCGAACCCACGGGAAATCTTAACAAGATTTAATAATCTTAATAAATCTGGTTGAGTGGTTAAGGCAGCAGGCTAGGAACCGGGAGATGGTGAGTTCTAGTCCCGCCTTGGGCATGAAAGCCGGCTGGGTGGCTCTGGGCCAGTCACCAGGAGACGGTGAGTTCTAGTCCTACTTTAGGCGTGAAAGCTGACTGGGTGATTTTGGGCCGGTCCCTCTCTCAGTCCAACTTACAGAGTTGTTGTAGGGAAAACAGGAGGAAGGGGGTTATTAAGGGACGTTCACCGTCTTGAGTGTTGTTTATAAAAAGTAATCAAGGCGGGATATAAATAAATATATCTTGTTCAGGAAGTTTTTGCCCTTCCCCAACCAACCAACCAACCAACCAACGGCCTCAGTTCCTGCAAACGTACCATACTACGGGAAACTCCTACCGAGGCGTCGTCTCTTCTAGGTGGTCCTTTTTATAGAGGAAGGTGTCGGGCATGAGACAGCACGGAAGAAGACATCTGAGTTACTACTATATTCGGTGCAACCGGTTCTGGACTCTTTCCCTTTCTCCGACTTACACTGCTAGACGTGTGCGACGGAAAAAGAGCTAAAATCGGTTTTCCGGTCCTCGTTATATTGACAGCTTAGGACTATTGGATAGATGGGACTTGAAATCAATTTATCCCGTCGCCATACCTGGTTATAGATGCTTTGTTTAACATACACACACCATTATGGATTTATTCTATTTATTTGGAAAATGAAAGGTAGTCCTCGACTCACAACTGTAATTGGGACTGGAACATCCGTCGCTAAGCAATGCAGTCATTAAATGAGCCATGCCTGATTTTGTGACCTTTTTTTTTTTTTTTGCAGTGGTTGTTAGCAAATCGCTCTGGTCATTAAGCAAACAAATGCGGTCATTAAGAGAATTTGGCCTCCCCAATTGAATCTGCCAGAAGCCACGTTCACTTTTTTGTGTGACCTTTTTTTGTGGACTGCGAGTTGCAGAAGAAGCCAAAGTCAGACACAAATTGGGGGTGCTGCTTAAAACGATCCCAGCGGAGAACCTCCTGGCCCGTTCTCACCTGCAACGGGATGACGATCATGAAAATCTTCTTGTCCTTATCGGAGAGGATGTGCTTAATAAAAGCCCAGCCGGTGCCAATGAGAGCAATGGTGATGAACAGCAGAGCGCCCTTTAACCTGGTTAAAAAAACACACACAACAGCGACAGATTGACACACCTGGTAGTGTGAAGCGGTCCTCAAGCAAACACAGTTTAAAAGGTTTTAAGACAACCGATAACTCTCTAGCGACAATCCTCTCCTAAAGGCTCCTACACGGCTCATATGCAAAATAATAAATATTTTAAAGGAATCTTAGGTATTATTTTGGGAGAGAAACAGTGGCTCAACTTGAGCTTTGGAACCCCTGGTTTAAACATTTATGAAAGAATCCTGGTTGGGCTAAAAACCTAGGGAGAAGTCCAACATCTGTTACAGAAACTTCCTGGATGACTCTGGATTAATCGCTTTCTCTCCTGGCCCAGCCTACCTTCAAGGCTTCTTGTGAAAGAACCAGGAGGAGAGAGAGCAGAAATGCCAATCTAATGGACGAAAACACAGATACAAATCTAACAACTTCACAACAGATGTCCAGAAGGCTGCCTTTTCCAACTGATTACAACCTCATAAGATTTTGGCAATCTTCACGTTGGAATCTCATGTAGGAGGAAACTATTTTAAAACTGCAAGCCTTTATTGAACGGGGGAGACAGGGTTTGTCCTGCATCTAGGATTTCACAGCTGCCACTAACCCCTACTAGACTGGTATAAATCTATAACCAGACACTAGAGACTTACAGGTGTGTGATATAATAGACAACAGCCCAGCCCTCAATGGGGTAGCCCTGTGTGGAGATATAGTGGTAATCGATCTGGGGAGGAAAAAAGAGTAACATGTTAGTCCAAAGGTTGGTATTAAGCCACTAAACTTTCCTATTCCTATTAAGCTTTCCTAAAATAGCCTTCAATTCTAATAAGATTCTAAAAAAAGAAGAAGAAACACATTAACATGTAGATATAAATCTAATACAAATAAAGCTTTGATTTGGTGGACAATTTGGTAAAAAAGGGGGTATCCGTTAAATCCAAATGTCCACTAAATCCAAATGTATGCAGTTAAGCCAGTAAAAATACTTTGACTGGTTCCTTATATTTTTATAATGCATTAGTATGTTTACTACAACTACCAGGTCTGACAAATTTATTTAAATTTAGTGACGAACCCCCTCCCACTTAAGGTTTCATTTTACAACAAAGAACGTGGGTTTCAGATTCTCAGGTCCAAAATCACATTTTGTGCAACGACGATTTATTTCGTTTAAAAACGAAGTAAAGAAAGGCAGCCAAGTAATCTGTAGATGTTTTATGCCAATTCCTGGACGTTATTCAAGAGGTAACTTACGGCGTGGAAGACTAAAGAAAGGGACTTGGTGAAAGGAAGCGAAGCCATTAACCAATGGATCTTGAAAACGTCGGCCCTGTGAGACAAAATTGACAACTGAAAGTCAATAAATTTACTGATGGGCTCCGAGTGAAGCTTTGGCAGGCCCACCTGGGGAAGCGGTTCCCACGTCTTACCTGAGTTTCCGAAGGGTGTGGATCCACACAACCCCAGCGACAAAGAAGAAAACCGCCATGGAAATGTACAGCTTGGGAAGTGGGATTTCTCCAGCAGAGAGGTAGCTGTTTGGATTTTGCTCAATGATTGAGATCTGCAAGCAGAACAGGATACATCAATAGATAGACAGACTGACTGACTTCTGATAAGGAGTTTCATCTGGGGCCAATGAAATGCCTCTGGGTAGTTTGGCTGCTGATCCTTGGAAGGAAAAAAAGGGGGGAAAATCCCAACTTACGTCCAGGCTGAAGGGGACCTGTTCAGTCCTCACATTTCCCAGTATGCACTTGTGAAAATAAAGACTATAAAGTCCTTCTTGTTCCTTTGAATTGATGCTGAACTGAAAAACACACAGAAGGAAGAAAGGATGACACTGGCCAGGTTTTAAACAGATTCCAAATTCATTTTCTTCTTTGAGGAAATGGTTGCCGCTCAGCCCTGTTGGACACGTGGAGGGCACACACTGGCCCTTTCAAGCCAAGCCAAGGCCTGCTCAGGTTACAAAAGGAATCGTGAGGAATAAAACCACCTACCTGGAATGAAAAACTATTGTTCCCGCTTTGGATTGGGTGCGTTCGCTCAGCAAGCACCTGGCAGATTAAAAAAAAAAAAATTCCATGTTTTATGGCTATGCCAAATCAGATCGGAAGCAACAGGTATAAATTCTTGTCACCACAATACAAAAAAGATGCAGATGGAAAGAGTGCAGAGAAGAGCAACAAAGATGATAAAGGAGCTGGAGGCTAAATCATACAATGAACAATTGAGGGAATTAGGCACCTCTAACCTATCAAAGAGAAGAACTAGGGAGGATATGATAGCAGACTTCCAATATCTGAGGGGCTGCCACAAAAAAGAGGGGGGTCAAACCATTCTCCAGACCCTACTGAAGATGTGTGGACTTCAACTCCCAGAGTCCCCCCAGCCAGCCTGTTGAGCATCGTGCATACATGATGGAGAAAGAGACCGCCTCCTGCCACAGATTACCCCCCACCGACCTGTACGCTCCCACAGAGTGGGTCTCCTCAGGGTACCGTCGGCCAGACAGTGCCGGCTGGCGACCCCAAGGGGGAGGGCCTTCTCTGTGGGAGCTCCCACCCTCTGGAACGAACTGCCCCCAGAGATCAGGGTGATTCCTGATCTCCCTTCCTTCCGCCGCGCCCTTAATACTTGGTTATTCCAGCTTGCAGGACTGGCCTAGGGGATTTTATAGGGGTTTTAATTACTTTTAAATTTGACATTCTCAAATATTTCATTTTAATCAAATTTTAAACTAGGTGTAATATGTTAGCTTTTTATCATTTGTCAGCCGCCCTGAGTCCGAAAGGAGAAGGGCGGGATATAAATACAATTAAATAAATAAATAAATAAATAAATAAATAAATTACATCAATCCAGTCGCTGCTTACCTGAACCTCCGTCGTATTGTCCTTAAGTGACTGTTTTGGTTCTAAAAGGTGAAGAAAAGCAAAGTGAGACACAATTCCAGCAAGGGAAAAAAATGGATGTTTTAGACAGCCCAACAGTGTTGCAAAACAGGAGATAGGTGGTGTCGCATCCCTTCCTCTCTGTTGTGCCCTGTCTTATCTTGCTGGGAGGGAAAAAAAAAACAAAACACCTTTACCAGATTTATCAGTGATTCCTGGAAGACCGGTTGCTTGGGATTCGCTGAAGATGATTTCAGGTAACTGTGGGGTTTTGTTTTCAAACTTGACTTTGACCCTGCAGGTGACAAGGACACAGCCTGAGTTGGCTACCATCAAAGGCTGAACGAAAAGAGGCCAAAAAAAACCCCCAAAAAAGAGCATCTGATGTCCCGAATGTCACATGACTATTTACTCCAATTTAGTTTGTTTATTTATTTATTTAATTTAATTTAATTTATATGCCGCCCTTCTCCCGACAGGGACTCAGGGCGGCGCACAACATACTTAAAACCAAAACATATATACAATCCCCCCCCTTAAAACCGAATTAAACCAAATTTAGAGTTGCGTCTTCCAAATTCCTAAAAAACCCAGTAAAAAATCCACCCTAGGTCAGGTCCGCTTGCTGGAAGAGCCATGTCTTGAGGGCGCGACGGAAGGTAAGGAGATCCGGAATTATCCGAATCTCGGGGGGGTAGTTCGTTCCAGAGGGTGGGGGCACCCACAGAGAAGTCCCTCCCCCTGGGGGTCGCCAGCCGGCACTGCTTGGCCGACGGCACCCTGAGGAGACCCACTCTGTAGTTTTCGTCTACATGCACAATTTATTCCAAAATGAGACGTTGCCTTATTGATCAGGTTTCTTTGAATTACACTTGTGATGTAAACAGAATTTATTCAATTTGTCCTGGGGAACGAACGACTCTGGCATGCTTTAATTCTCAAATTAACTCGAGCGATCTTTTAAATTCTTTCCTTTTAGGCAGCTCACCAAAACGACTGGGATCTTCCCTATCGTCTGATATTTAAAAAAAAAAAAAAAAAAGACTTTAGTTAGGCTGACTTGGTTTCATCGCTTTTGAAGCTCAGCAGACATTAAAAAACAAAGCTTCTAAATCAAGTATTTCTCAACCTTGGCAACTTTTAAGGTGTGCGGATTGCAAGTCCCAGAATTCCCCAGCCATGACCAATTCCCCAAGACTCCTTACAGCTTCTCTGAGAAATCCAGGAGAAGAATGATGACCAAGACCTCACGGCTCGGCTTTTGATTCAAGATGCAATAATCCACTTCTTCGTTCTGTCCCCAAAAAAAAGCAAGAGATGATTATAGGATGAGGGTCCCTTCAATTAAACAGCATCAAAATGGCTTTTGAAGTCAGCTGGTCTCGGTACGATTATGATACAGGTAGTCCTTGACTTATGACCACAATTGGACCCCACATTTCTGTTATTAAGTGAGACAGTTGTTCAAAGGGTTTCACAGCAGTCAAGTATCAAGTTGTGACTTACCAGGTTAGTGGAAAATCCATCATTCTGTGTTCGATCTATACTGAAGCCCACCTAAAAAGAGATTTTTAACAAAGTGTTAACATTCAAGGCTACAGGTTTGGAAAAATGCCTCACAAGGGTTCAACCATGCTGTAAAACAAGACGTTTTGCACCTTAATGATAATTGGATGCCCGTGGGATGCCCAGCTCCCCCTCACCAATCAGTATAGCCCCCAACTCTGTTCTTTATTTCATAAAGCCTTGAAAACCTGACTTTTTTTCCCCAACAGGTTTAGAGAAAATTGTGATGCTGCCCCCCTGATGTTATAAAGGGTCTAACTGATTACCCACTGGGGGTACTTTTTGTAACTATTCTATTTTTGTCCCTTATTTTTCAAGACATTAGACTGTAAGAAAAAGAAAGGGCACTAAAGATGCCAAATTGCTAACTTTAGTAGGCTTTATTCCTGGCGGTTTGTTTATTTGAATTGTCGCAAGCTGCCTAGAGTTGCAAATCAAGACCCAGGACTAAAACTGGAAGAGTAATTCATTATTAATGTGAGAAAATTATATCGTTTGCTTGCAAAGGACACAACAATAGACAAATTTAAAATCCAATTTACCAAGGAAAGCACGTCTACTTGTCCAAGCGGCTTCTGAAAAACGGCCACTCTTAGGGGCCGAGTGAGTTCAAATTTGAATTTCCTTTTTGTCAACTCCTTCACAATTGTGTGACGAACGTTTGGCAAGAGGCACTTACCTGAATGTTTTTGTCACTCTCCCCCACTGACTTGATGGAGAGGTTGTTGATGATGACCCGCATGAATCCATCCTGGAAGAAGCCAAAGGTGTTGAGGTGGACTTTCTGCCGCAGGTCATCCTGGAAGAGAGGACACGGATGCGCTTATAGGGTTACCCTGGATGAAGCTGGTGGTGGGGAGCAAAAGAGCCCCCGCGGAGAGACTGAATGTGAGGGTCTCTGAGCTTAATGCAGACATTTCATTACCCAACTAGGTAACACCATCAGTGCTAGGAGGGATTGGGGGTTTGCTGAGAGGAGGAGGACTTGATGGTCTGTCTGAACTTGGTTGTTTTCTTGCAAAAATTTCATTACCAAGCTAGGTAACATCATCAGTGCTGGAAGGAAGGGGGGTCTGCTTCCAGCACTGACATTGAGCCTCTTCTTCCTCCTCCTCTGATGAGTGACTAACAGTTCAGAGTTACAATGGACCTTTCCAGGATTACTTACAACCCAGATTTGAACCCCTCCAGTCACAGGATTGCATTTTGGGCGACTGGCAACCGGCTCGCATTTACAGCAGCGTTAAAAGCAAAATAAATACTCATGCCTTTGTTTTCCTGGGTGCAATGTCAGTGCCCAGAATTGCTTTTTTTTTTTGCTTGTTTGTTTTGAGAAGATCATGAAAGATGGAGGTTACGGCGCAAAAGAGAGGAACCACAAGGATTTTATCAAGCTTGAAAGTCACCGTGCCTGCTAGGCTGCCCTCTAGCCATCTGTGAACAGATTATGATTAGGCACACTAATCATCTACTCGTACAGGGCCACAAAACTCCTTAAGAGCAGACCCAGAATGCTTTGGAAGGGAAGGGAAATCTGCCAGGAGGAGGAGACCCCCGATGAGCCACCATCTGGTAGAGTCTGCAGAACATGGTCCCTCACCAGTGACTCATCCCACAAAGTCTAAATTCTGGTGGGACTTCCAAGTTATCTGATTATGGAGAAGATGGACCACAGAGAGAGAGCTATCACACGACCCCAGAACATTGCAGCCGTCATAAACACGAGCCAAGCGTCTGAATGTTGATCACGTGACCACAAAGATGCTGCAATGGTTGTAAGGGTGAAAAACGGTCCTAAGTCGCTTTTTCCAGTGCCATTGTAACTTGGAACAGTCACTAAACGAACTGTTGTAAGTTCTAGGACTGCCTGCATTGTAGGAGAGGAACCGGCTGAACTGGAAGGGGGAGTTAAATGTGTCACCAGCTTGGAGTCACTGCACAGCTATAAAGAGAGCCAAGCCCAGCCCACTGTGGATTCCCTTGACCCTTACCTAGTGTCAATTTCGCACTGACCGTTAGTTGACTAGATTGTTGTATACAGGTTGCAACAATAACGTTGTTTTGAATCCAACAAATGTTCCTGGTTATTTGCATCTGACAATTAACTGCAATATGGAGAGGCGCTGAGTGGCAGTCCTGATTCAGCAGGAATCTTTTTAGCTTATGACTGCAGTATGACAGGTTGCAAGGACCAAGGAAGACATGTAGAATTACNAGCAAGCGGGACTGGCCTAGGGGATTTTATAGGGGTTTTAATTACTTTTAAATTTGACATTCTCAAATATTTCATTTTAATCAAATTTTAAACTAGGTGTAATATGTTAGCTTTTTATCATTTGTCAGCCGCCCTGAGTCCGAAAGGAGAAGGGCGGGATATAAATACAATTAATAAATAAATAAATAAATAAATAAATTACATCAATCCAGTCGCTGCTTACCTGAACCTCCGTCGTATTGTCCTTAAGTGACTGTTTTGGTTCTAAAAGGTGAAGAAAAGCAAAGTGAGACACAATTCCAGCAAGGGAAAAAAATGGATGTTTTAGACAGCCCAACAGTGTTGCAAAACAGGAGATAGGTGGTGTCGCATCCCTTCCCCTCTGTTGTGCCCTGTCTTATCTTGCTGGGAGGGAAAAAAAAAAAAAAACACCTTTACCAGATTTATCAGTGATTCCTGGAAGACCGGTTTCTTGGGATTCGCTGAAGCTGATTTCAGGCAACTGTGGGGTTTTGTTTTCAAACTTGACTTTGACCCTGCAGGTGACAAGGACACAGCCTGAGTTGGCTACCATCAAAGGCTGAACGAAAAGAGGCCAAAAAAAAACCCCCAAAAAAGAGCATCTGATGTCCCGAATGTCACATGATTATTTACTCCAATTTAGTTTATTTATTTATTTATTTATTTAATTTAATTTAATTTATATGCCGCCCTTCTCCCGACAGGGACTCAGGGCGGCGCACAACATACTTAAAACCAAAACATATATACAATCCCCCCCCTTAAAACCGAATTAAACCAAATTTAGAGTTGCGTCTTCCAAATTCCTAAAAAACCCAGTAAAAAATCCACCCTAGGTCAGGTCCGCTTGCTGAAAGAGCCATGTCCCATGGGGAGAAGGGCGGCATATAAATCCTGTTAAATAAATAAATAAATAAATAAATGTCTTGAGGGCGCGACGGAAGGTAAGGAGATCCGGAATTATCCGAATCTCGGGGGGGTAGTTCGTTCCAGAGGGTGGGGGCACCCACAGAGAAGGCCCTCCCCCTGGGGGTCGCCAGCCGGCACTGCTTGGCCGACGGCACCCTGAGGAGGCCCGCTCTGTAGTTTTCGTCTACATGCACAATTTATTCCAAAATGAGACGTTGCCTTATTGATCAGGTTTCTTTGAATTACACTTGTGATGTAAACACAATTTATTCAATTTGTCCTGGGGAACGAACGACTCTGGCATGCTTTAATTCTCAAATTAACTCGAGCGATCTTTTAAATTCTTTCCTTTTAGGCAGCTCACCAAAACGACTGGGATCTTCCCTATCGTCTGATATTTAAAAAAAAAAAAAAAAAAGACTTTAGTTAGGCTGACTTGGTTTCATCGCTTTTGAAGCTCAGCAGACATTAAAAAACAAAGCTTCTAAATCGAGTATTTCTCAACCTTGGCAACTTTTAAGGTGTGCGGATTGCAAGTCCCAGAATTCCCCAGCCATCACCAATTCCCCAAGACTCCTTACAGCTTCTCTGAGAAATCCAGGAGAAGAATGATGACCAAGATCTCACGGCTCGGCTTTTGATTCAAGATGCAATAATCCACTTCTTCGTTCTGTCCCAAAAAAAAAGCAAGAGATGATTATAGGATGAGGGTCCCTTCAATTAAACAGCATCAAAATGGCTTTTGAAGTCAGCTGGTCTCGGTACGATTATGATACAGGTAGTCCTTGACTTATGACCACAATTGGACCCCACATTTCTGTTATTAAGTGAGACAGTTGTTCAAAGGGTTTCACAGCAGTCAAGTATCAAGTTGTGACTTACCAGGTTAGTGGAAAATCCATCATTCTGTGTTCGATCTATACTGAAGCCCACCTAAAAACAGATTTTTAACAAAGTGTTAACATTCAAGGCTACAGGTTTGGAAAAATGCCTCACAAGGGTTCAACCACGCTATAAAACAAGACGTTTTGCACCTTAACGATAATTGGATGCCCGTGGGATGCCCAGCTCCCCCTCACCAATCTGTACAGCCCCCAACTCTGTTCTTTATTTCATAAAGCCTTGAAAACCTGACTTTCTTTCCCAACAGGTTCAGAGAAAATTGTGATGCTGCCCCCCTGATGTTATAAAGGGTCTAACTGATTACCCACTGGGGGTACTTTTTGTAACTATTCTATTTTTGTCCCTTATTTTTCAAGACATTAGACTGTAAGAAAAAGAAAGGGCACTAAAGATGCCAAATTGCTAACTTTAGTAGGCTTTATTCCTGGCGGTTTGTTTATTTGAATTGTCGCAAGCTGCCTAGAGTTGCAGATCAAGACCCAGGACTAAAACTGGAAGAGTAATTCATTATTAATGTGAGAAAATTATATCGTTTGCTTGCAAAGGACACAACAATAGACAAATTTAAAATCCAATTTACCAAGGAAAGCACGTCTACTTGTCCAAGTGGCTCCTGAAAAACGGCCACTCTTAGGGGCCGAGTGAGTTCAAATTTGAATTTCCTTTTTGTCAACTCCTTCACAATTGTGTGACGAACGTTTGGCAAGAGGCACTTACCTGAATGTTTTTGTCACTCTCCCCCACTGACTTGATGGAGAGGTTGTTGATGATGACCCGCATGAATCCATCCTGGAAGAAGCCAAAGGTGTTGAGGTGGACTTTCTGCCGCAGGTCATCCTGGAAGAGAGGAAACGGATGCGCTTATAGGGTTACCCTGGATGAAGCTGGTGGTGGGGAGCAAAAGAGCCCCCGCGGAGAGACTGAATGTGATGGTCTCTGAGCTTAATGCAGACATTTCATTACCCAACTAGGTAACACCATCAGTGCTAGGAGGGATTGGGGGTTTGCTGAGAGGAGGAGGACTTGATGGTCTGTCTGAACTTGGTTGTTTTCTTGCAAAAATTTCATTACCAAGCTAGGTAACATCATCAGTGCTGGAAGGAAGGGGGGTTTGCTTCCAGCACTGACATTGAGCCTCTTCCTCCTCCTTCTCTGATGAGTGACTAACAGTTCAGAGTTACAATGGACCTTTCCAGGATTACTTACAACCCAGATTTGAACCCCTCCAGTCACAGGATTGCATTTTGGGCGACTGGCAACCGGCTCACATTTACAGCAGCGTTAAAAGCAAAATAAATACTCATGCCTTTGTTTTCCTGGGTGCAATGTCAGTGCCCAGAATTGCTTTTTTTTTTTGCTTGTTTGTTTTGAGAAGATCATGAAAGATGGAGGTTACGGCGCAAAAGAGAGGAACCACAAGGATTTTATCAAGCTTCAAAGTCACCGTGCCTGCTAGGCTGCCCTCTAGCCATCTGTGAACAGATTATGATTAGGCACACTAATCATCTACTCGTACAGGGCCACAAAACTCCTTAAGAGCAGACCCAGAATGCTTTGGAAGGGAAGGGAAATCTGCCAGGAGGAGGAGACCCCCGATGAGCCACCATCTGGCAGAGTCTGCAGAACATGGTCCCTCACCAGTGACTCATCCCACAAAGTCTAAATTCTGGTGGGACGTCCAAGTTATCTGATTTTGGAGAAGGTGGACCACAGAGACAGAGCTAGCACACGACTCCGGGACACTGCAGCCGTCATAAATATGAGCCAAGCGTCTGAATGTTGATCACGTGACCACAAAGATGCTGCAATGGTTGTAAGGGTGAAAAACGGTCCTAAGTCGCTTTTTCCAGTGCCATTGTAACTTGGAACAGTCACTAAACGAACTGTTGTAAGTTCTAGGACTGCCTGCATTGTAGGAGAGGAACCGGCTGAACTGGAAGGGGGAGTTAAATGTGTCACCAGCTTGGAGTCACTGCACAGCTATAAAGAGAGCCAAGCCCAGCCCACTGTGGATTCCCTTGACCCTTACCTAGTGTCAATTTTGCACTGACCATTAGTTGACTAGATTGTTGTATACAGGTTGCAACAATAACGTTGTTTTGAATCCAACAAATGTTCCTGGTTATTTGCATCTGACAATTAACTGCAATATGGAGAGGCGCTGAGTGGCAGTCCTGATTCAGCAGGAATCTTTTTAGCTTATGACTGCAGTATGACAGGTTGCAAGGACCAAGGAAGACATGTAGAATTACTTCTGAGCGGTTTCCTTGATTTATTCCTCACCTCCAGACAGAAATCTTTGCCAAACTAAAGCAAGTACTTGCATCACCATAAATATACTTTTAAGAATTGCTAGGGAAGAGCTGAGTGAACTGTCTTCCTACTAAACCATTAAGCTTCTCTGTCTCTTGGTCTTCTGGAATGCAGCCTCTCTCTCCTGCTGGGAATCCAGACCACACTCGCCACGGAATATATATTCCTAACTCCAGAAGTGCAATCAGATTCTCTTCATATTTATTCAGAAAGACCAGTGACTAAGATGCCGAGGAAGCATCACGGAGTAAATTGGGTGCCGTAGTGCTTCTGCAGCAGAATATGGGGACGACCTTAGGAGAGGTGGGAGGACGGGAGACTACTTAGGGAATGATCAGATGAGGGAGCGCATAGCCCAGAGCTGCATAATGGGCAGACAAATACTCAGAAAGGACTCTCCCTAACAGTCTCAGAATATAAAAGAGGAAGTGGGAGGTTTGTACTTTCAGACTTGCAAGATTTTGTTAAGGGAGCCTTACAATAAAGTAGAATTAGGTAGTTCCTCTGCTTGCGTTTTCCGTTAGGCCTATCTAGGGAGGCTGACAACATGGGGGCATTCGTAAGACCTTTCCAGCAGACCAATTCTCACAACGTCAAGAACAAAACCAACTTTTATATTCCTATCAAAACCAAAAATCATTGCAAAATTAAAGTAAAAGATATCTGCAAAAAAAAAATTAAAATTAGTCTACCGCAAAAAAAAAAAAGAAAAGTTGTTTCAGTTCAGAGAAGGAACATTTCACAATACTGTCAACTCATGACAATAAAATATGTTGACATACCAACGTATTTTTTTTCCCCATCAACAATATCAAATGCCGAAAGTGATATATTACAAGATTAAGAATTCTGGCCAATGTCAACAAAGCCTTATTTGATGTTTTAAACAAAAATAAAAGGGAATAAATTATATTTTCAATTGCAATGTTAAGCCTCAGTAGCTGAAAAGAAAGTTGTATTTTAAAGATGGTCACCAGTGCGTTAAAATAAACAACCTTAACACATCTGAGGTGCTTACTGTTCTTTTAGAAAATGACATATATTTTCTGAGAAATGTGATCAACTAAAGGCAACCTGTATACAAGGACAAAGGAAGCTGATGCCTGGTTACAGTTTACACAATTCAAAGATTTCAAACACAATTTAGTAGACAACAATCTGCTAAAATGGTAACAAATCAACTTAATTCCGAGCTAGAAATAAAAAAAAACCACTTAAAATTCAGCAGCGTCACAGACACAGATAAACGTAGCCTGAACAAACAGAAGGATCATCCTGAATATTTCCACTTATCTGTTTTGCTCAACTTGTACAGTCTTGCTAGAGATTTTACTCGAAAGACACACTAAGTAGTAATTTAAGAAACAATGCCTTCCTGAACACGGGCCAAAAGCTGACTTTTAAAGAATACATTGAAAGATGGCTGATTCAACTCTTGCTGGTTGTTTTCTTTCTGCAAAATTCTTGCTGGTCAATAAGGTTCCTACAAATGTGGTTATTTTGGGCAGTAGTACAGTCGGTTAGGTGGGATTATTATTTTTTTTTTGCTTTAATTCCAAGATTTTATTTCTTCCACCAAGATTTATATCTTTAACCAAGATTAGCTACAGGTAAATCCTCAACCTACACTAGTTTAGTAACTGTTCAAAGTTACAACGGCACTGAAAAAAAGTGACTCGTGACCATTTTCACACTTACAACTGTTGCAGCATCCCCCTGGTCACGTGATCAACATTCAGACGTTCAAATTTATGATGGTCGCAGCGTCCTGGGGTCATGTGACCCCCTTTTGTGACAATCAAAGTCAATGGGGAAGCCATGTTCACTTCACTGCCGGGTTGGTATAACAATCCTAAAGGAATCCTTGATGGGACTGGGGTCCAATAGCTCTAAAGGATTCCAGACTGGGGATGATGGGATTGGAATGTACCATCGTGAAGGAGCTCAGCTGGGGATGATGGCTGTTGGGATACAAATGTCCAAAAGGAATCTAGCAAAGTATGATGGGACTGGGATGTACCAGCCTGAAGGGATTCCAGTTGGGGAAGATAGACCGAGTAGCCTTAAGAGATTCCAGGCTGTGGATAATGGGGGTTGGGGTACAACAGTCCTAAAGGAATCCAGATGAGGATGATAAGACTAGGATGTACTTGCCTAAATAGCTTTGGTGGGAACGGAGTGTAACAACCTGAAGAGCTTCCAGGCTGGGGATGATGGGGGCTGGGGTAGAAAAGTCCTAAAGCAACCCAGCCAAGGATGATGGGACTGGGGTGCAACAGCTCTAAAGATGGTGGGGATGGAATGTCACAGCCTTAAGAGATTCCAGGCTGGGGATGATGGGGGTTGGGGCACAACAGTCCTAAAGCAACCCAGCCGAGGATGATGGGACCGGGGTCTCCCAGGCTGACGAGGCTCGGGCGGGGAAAGGCCCTCCACGTGTCCCGGCGCCTACCTTGAGACTGAGATGGTGGAGCCGGGCCTGCGCGGGCCCCACCGAGAGCAGGCCGGCCAGGAGGGCCAGGAGGAGCCCGCCCGACGCCGCCCGGGCCCGGGAGAGGAACCCGGAACCGCCGCCGCCGCCGCTCCCTCCCAGCGCCATCTTCACTCCAGCATCAACATCGCCCCGGCCGCCCTCTTCCGGGGTGAAAGGTCACCGCCCCCGCAGGGTGACGCTGCCGCCGGCCTGGGAGCCATAGACTTCCGGTTGGAGCGTCTCGGGACTTCCGCTCGGGGAAAGCGAAAGCGGGAAGACCATAGAGAGGTCGGAGAGAGAAGGAGGAGAGGCTGAAGGAGCAGCTGACGCTTCCTTTGCTCCTGACCTGAACGCGGCTCTCGGGGCCTCAAAGGGCGCCCTCTGTCGTCCCCCAGGGGTTCTGCACCCTGTTAGAGAGCTCTGCATGGTTGGACACCTAGATAGATATATACAGACACACACACATACATACATTTATATATTCAACTTTATTCGTATATATATATATATAAGTACACAGTATATATGTAAATATACACTCATCATCACATATATATTTTATATAGCTTCATATATATCTATATCTATCTATACACACACACACAATCAAATATATTGTTCTATATTCTAAATACACAGTATATTTACTCACAAAACCCATTTATATAAGTATAGACATCTACCTATATATGTACACATGGACATATTCAACTTGTGTATATACAGTGTGTGCATATGTATGTGTAGATAGATATAGATGGATGGATGGATGATAGAGAGAGATGGATGATGGATGGATAGATAGACATACACATTTAAAAAGTGGGAGAGCTACTAGCTATTTCATCAAGGCAGCAAACATACTTGATATTCTTATTTATCTTCCCCACAACCACAACAATCTCTTATACATCAAAACATAAACGCACCATGATAGGTGTTAACCCACTAGCCAAAGATATGATTGATAAAGCCAAGGCTTAATCTCTGTGTTCACCCAGCCTCACAATAATTCTGCCACCATAAAACAAGAGTCAAAGCCATCATACATAATATACGTACAGCACACACACAAAGATAACCTGCAAAGGTAGCAGATGTGGACCCACAACTCCTGCCCCCATCTCTACCCTACCCTTCTATAGTCCATGCTGTGTCAATTCAGTGAAGGTGTAAAGATAGAAAGGTTGGCTCAAATAGTTTGGACGAGCCTGAAATTCACAAAAGGTTGTGAGCAGGGGGTTGGACTAGATGACCTCCAAGATCCCTTCCAACTTTACTATTATTATTACTTTTTTTCTTACTACCATCTATCTAATCTGATAGTTCGCACAATCTTCTTTTTAAGCAGGATGAGATTGTCCCAAGTTGATAATTGATAGGGGAAAAAGAACTTTTGATTAGACCAAATCCATATTTGTAATATTCCTTTGATGGTGCCGATGTTACATATGGGAGGTTTTTTTGCAGCCTGTTTGATGGCTAAAATCTGTTTATCCAACTGCTGTTGCTAATCTTGTGGACAGATTCAGAAAAAAAAATTTTGAACATGTTGTTGACACCACACCATATTGCAGACATAAATATAAGCAAACAAACAAACTTAGCAATCAAGTAAAAAAAAAAATCACATGGTGAATCAGACTGTTGTTCTGCCTTTCGCCACTAGATGTCGTGTGAATACAGTTAGTGATGTTTCCTTGCCAGATTTCAGCAGACATTTAATTAAGGGATTATTACTTTGACTTCCTGTTGTAATAATTAAGCTTCTTGCTTAATTATTCAAACTATTCTATAAATTGATTGAAAAAAATGAATTGTCTAATGTAGGAAACTAAGAACTGCTGGGGCCATCCTTTTAAAAACTGACCTAGTTCATGTTACGATAAATCATGCTTGATTAACCTTGATTTAGTTTATATAATGCACCAAGCTGATTGTCATAATTCATCTTGGTCACCTATAAAGATCCACAGCTCGTAACCCTGTATCCCAAAAGACTCACAATCTAAACTTTGACAAAGAGGAAGGAGCAGGAAGGTATAGAAAAATGGTGCATAATTTGAACTCAGTGCAGACCTTTGCACAGTTATTCAGAAGAGAGTTCTGCAGTATTTAACTTTGTGTTAAGTTTGTGTTTAATATGCATATAGAGGGCAACTGGCCCAAAGTCACCCATCCGATTCGCATACGAAAGGCGGGACTTCAGTTCACTGTCTCTGATGATTGGCCCAAAGTCACCTAACCGGCTTTCATCTCCAAGGCAGGACTAGAACTCACCATCTCCTGATGATTGGCCCAAAGTCATCCAGCTTGCTTTCATGCCTAAGGCAGGACTAGAACTCCCTGTCTCCTGGTGATTGGCCAGCTTTCATGGCTAAGGTGGGACTAGAACCCAGAGTTTCCCACCTTCTAGCCTGGTGCCATAACCACTAGACCAAACTGCTTCTCCAAAAGGCCGACGTAATTATTTTTTTTTCCAGAATAAGAGGTAGTTTAGTTGTTTTAATTCCTATCCTGCTGTATGGCACCTTCATAGCTGTGATCACGTGCAAGACGTTTGGGCGTTTTCACTGCATTCTTCTTGACTGGAGGTCTCTCACAAAGAACAATGGCTGTTTTCAAGCACAACACACTCATTGTGATTTGGCCAAACATTGGGCTACTGTGTGGATCTGCAGGTGGCTGGGTTAGATGATCTCCCAGGGCCCTTCAGTTCTACAAGTTGTGCTGGGTGTTGTGCAGAACTGGCCTACACACTGACGTGGCTTCAAGAGGCTAGATTCCCAGCTAACTTTGTACCAATTTTAGGAAGTCCTTGACTTACAACCGCTTGTTGGTCCAAAGTCTAGAGAAAAGAAGGACGAGGGGGGACATGATAGCAACCTTCCAGTATTGGAGGAGCTGCCCCAAAGAATTACCACCAAGGAGTATCCCTACAAGAATCTTTGGGTGCCTGTCGTATTTTTTAATAGATCCCTTATGCTACAGCCCTCTTCCCCTGCTGAGAGCAGACCACAACTTCCATGGTCCCCAGTCTGTTTGAGATCAAGTGACCCGGGATGCTGCAACTGTCGTAAATGTGAGCCAGTTGCCAAGTGTCTGAATTTTGATCACGTGACCCACGGGGACGCTGCAACCGTCATGTCCCTTTTTTCAGTACCTTTGAAACTCTGAGCGGTCAGTAAACGAATGTTGTAAGTCAAGGACTACCTGTGTAGGAATGGAGGGATGGTGCTATGGTTTACTTGTTGAGCTTAGATTAAATTGCCGTTTAAGGATTTGGACAGCACCCGTCAGAGGAAGGCTGGGGAGGGATGCGAGAGGGCTGTCACGTTCCCATTGCCTGCCTATCTGAAGCGCGTTCCGTTAACCACGATCTCAAGGTACTGCGTGAGTCCAGGGATGTGTTAAGCCACCTTTGGTTTGTTTGTTGAGCTTCTCCCGGTCAATCGCAGTTGGAGGGTTTGGACAGCCCAGGCCGGCTGACCAGAGCCATGACGCGCTGAACCCGGCCCGAGGAAGGTTTGGGGAGGGGGCGTCACGTCCGCAGGGCAAGCCCGGCTGCTGCAGCGCCTTAACCATGATCTGCTTCTGGCTGAGCGCTCCCCCCGAGGGGGCTTGTCCGTGGCTGCCCCCACCGAGCTGGCGCATCGTCTGCGCTTTTGCAAAAGCGAGTCCGGATCAAGTGCGCTCCGCTCCCGAGCCAGGCTAAGGAGGGCTTTGGCGCTAAGCCCCCTCCGCCAGCCCCCTCCCCAATATCTTTCCCCGAGCTGCTGCCTGTCCTCGGAGCCCCAGGGGTCGCGCTTCAGGCTTGCAAAAGGCGCTGCCGCCTGGCTCAACCCATCTAGGGAGGGTGGGTGGGTGGGTGGGAGGGAGAGGGTGCCACCGACCCCCTCTCGCGCTTGCGCAATCCCCGGAGCCCCCTGCTCGTCCTCCTCTCTCTTTTTTTCCCCTCCTCTCTGCACACCCGCTCCTTCTCTCCCCCCCCCCGGCGCATGCGCGCTCTCCCCTTCCCCCTCCCCGAGCTGTCAAGCTCCCCCCTCCCTTGGCCAAGACTCCGGAGTTGCTGCTTGAGCCATTTTTTCTTCTTTCTTGCTCCGGACGGAGGAAGCGATGGGCAGATAGCGAGTCTGGGGCTTTGGGGGGGGGCAGGCGGGAGGCAGACAGAGCAACGGACAGACCAGGCGGGGGCGAAGCCCCTTTTCCCTCTCTGCCTCCGGCTTGCAATTGGCCAGCCTATGCCAGTTGGGCAAACGCCTTGGAAGGGGGCTCGCCTCCGACTGGGGGAGGCGGGAGCGAGAAGCAGGGGCTGAAGACCCCCAGAGCCTGCCTTCGCTCCAGCCCGGCCGCTGTCCGGGACCCGCCGCAGCTGCTGGCACCATGAATTGGGGCACCGAACTGTGGGTAAGTCGGAGTGCCCAGGGCTTTAGCCTGGCTTGGGGGAGGGGGGGGGCTTTCCCCTTCCCCTCCCGAGGGGGTCGCGCCTCGCTCAGCCCCTCCGCAGGCCGGGATCCGCCGATGCGCAAACTTCCCCGGGCGAAGAAAACGAGGAACGCGGGGGTGGGGTGGAGGGGAGCGAAATGAGATTATTATTATTATTATTTTCATATTTCCTCCGCTGCGTTTTTCTCCTGGGATTTTCCGGGAGAGAAAAAAAAAATAACGGTTTGCAAACGTTGGCCGGGCACCTCGTGGTCTTTTGCAGCCGATCCTTTTCCTCCTTCATGGTTAAAATGCAGAAATTTGCAGAAATTTGCGCGGAGGTGGGGGGGGGGGTTGGCGCAGCTTCTGGGGAAAGGGGGTGTCCGGCGAGGCGCGTGTGCCCCATCGGCTCGTTTGTAATTAATCTGTGTTTTTTTTTTTGGTTTTTTTTCACTGATGCAATCGCGAACGAAACGAGCCTCGGTGGGTTGAAGCGGCCGAGGCAAAAAAAAAAAAAATCGCATTTCTCAACAGGAGAACGGAAATGTTTTAAGCCCAGCCGCCTTTAGTGGAGGAGGAGAAGGAGAAGAAGAAGAAGAAGGGCTGGGGTGGTGGGGCGTGGAAGCGAAGTCAGAGAAGGCAGCCCTGAGAAACAGGACAGAGAGCTGGGGAACCTTTCTGGGGAGGGGTGGTGGTAATTA